ACTGGTTCTGGTGGAAATGAGCTTTGTTAAGATAACCTGGATGATTCAGGTGTAATTGAATCTATTGTTGTATGGTGTACAGTTTATTATAGGATGCTGAAAATATACCAAGTGTTCTGGATACCTGAAATGTACGATAACATGTATGATATTGTACAATAGAGTAAACTGCATTATTATAAATTATAATATTTTTTTACCGAAATTGTTATATAAATGATTCGGAGTGGACATGAGATTTATGTCTTTATATTTTTTAAAGAAAAAGAAAAGTCGAGATCAGCAGGGGACCCCAGAGACAGTGGGGGCTCAGGGTTAATCAACCCTGTTAATTACGTTACACAATCATTTATCTCTGAGGTATTTGACTAATAGTTTCTATAATGGTGTCAAATGTTTTGTCAGTGCACTTTAGCGACACCATGTGGTGGAATAGATTTAACAGATTTGCACCCTGAGTGTGTGTGAAGGTGGGCGGGGGGGGGAGCAATGAAAACAGTAAAAATACCACAAGTCTTGTGTTTTGTTCGGTTCCTTATAGATAAGGTTAGGGCTGGGTGGGGGTTTAGGGTGTCATATTTGGGATTAGGGTTATGGCAACAGAAATAAACAGGAAGTCCCCACGTGTGTGTGTGTGTGTGTGTGTGATAAGTAATTATACTGAATATCCAGGATCACAAATAATGATGCAAAATAATGATCTCCAAATATACGATGTATGATGGTCTGATATATGATAACATTAGCAAGCTCAGGTCTCTACTGCTTAGAACATCTACACTAAGCCTAACTTTACAGATGGGGTCCCAGCTTTGTGGAGCCCGGTGAACCCTGGGAACCCTTAGTGTCGGCATTATTTAGAATGAATGTACAGCCTACATATGGACTGCATGCTAATCATCATGTGCATAGATCACATACAGCACAATTGGGAATATTAATACAACACTCCGAGCTGGCCTTTGGGTGATTCCAGCCGCCCCCCCACCCCAACCCCCCAGATTAGCAGAAAACAAATTTATATTTAATGGCTGCTAACTAGCGAGTTGGCATCTGTTTCACAAGAAAAGTACTGAAGTATTAAAACTAGTGTAAATAAGTGTAATGTCAGTGAGTGCCACCAGAGGTATTTCTTTTGATATTTTTCAATTTTCACTATTTGTTTCCATTATTAAGACCCAAGTACGCAGTACCATGCAGAGGGACAGGTGCTCGATGCTTTTGACACACACATTAAAGGCGCCCCCACCTTTAAAGGGAGACACTCTAAATAGTTTGGGCAAAAGGGGCAGGTGCTCAGGCTCCCAGCCGTCTGCACGCACCTGCAAGTAAGTATCACTTTCCGTGGATTAACTTACAAGTTTGGTGAAAATTACAGTGTTCATAGCTGTTAAATACAACCGGCTGTTCTAATTCACGGCTTGTTGTGAAGTAAGGCGGAGACAAATTCGGAGAAAAATGGAAGGAACCCGATGACTTGAGCCCAGCCCCACATGACGTTGGGTTTCTGTCACGTCCCTCAATCGAGCCAGAGAAACAAAAGCTGAACAAACAGTGAGACAGGAGCAGTTATTGAGGGCTGTGGGATCGCAACCGTCATGTGTCCTGTGGTTATTATTTCATGGTTGTCATTCATCTTCGGTGAGGTTTTAGTCTTTTTTTTCTACTTGCAAAAGTGCCGCTATTATACATATTTATTGTGTCATCGGTAATTAATTGAAACAATTGCGAAACTGCCTTATTTTCATGTTAATAAGACATTATTACTCCATTGTAGGGTTTGCATCGTCCCAAATCAAACAGAATCCTGTAGTAATGACTAAAATAAACAGAGTAGTAAGGATCGAGTGTGAAGTGCCAATCAACTTGAATGATAACCCCCTGCATTGGTACCGACGGGTAAAAAATGGGGCTCTGCACCGTGTTTCTTACCTACCAGCTGGGTCTGGCAAACAAGAAAGTGAGACAGGCTTCACGGCGACAAAAACCGCCAGCGGAACTGGCTATAAAAGTGTGCTGAGTGTCTCAAAGCCGAAGCCGGATGACACCGGTGATTACTACTGTGCCTACTGGGAGACCCACAGCGAGAACATTAAGAGGACGTCAAGGCAGAAACGACGCCAGCAAAATGGTGCAAAGACAGCGGGTTTCGCCGCGTTGAGGGTCCTGCCTTTTTAATGACCAATACACTGTTAAATGCCGCTTGTCATTAATACCGACATCTCAAACATCTTTAAAATTTACATCTTAAGACACAAATCCATTGACCATATGAATCCTAAATGAAAAGTTTACATCACTGCAGTCTGGAAGTTTATAGGGTATTCAGGAATCTCATCCCTCTCTCCTTTGTTAAAAAGATCAAGGGGGGTCAGGAGATTATTGTAACATTAGCTGACTTCAGGATTTTAGCCGCTCAGAAAGGTGCAACACAAAAACATACTGCTGAACCTTTAGCTCTACGG